CTATAAGGATGTTTTGAGCACGATTAAAGTTGGTCATAATGAAGTGAAGATTCAGTGTGGAGGAAGGATTTTTGTCTGTGAAAAACACTGCCTTTAATCCTTCTGATGGTGACAGAATGAGTTGCTCTGATCTTTGCTAACCTTTCACACATGATAAAGTACTCTTTCTTTGCTCGCCATTTCATTTAAAAAAAAAAAAAAGAAGTTTCTGCCTGCTGATATGTTTCTGAACATGTGGGATCTCCATAAGTTTGAGTCAGTTTATGTGCCGCGGCGCAGACCCATGCCTGCCCATTAAAGTAATTTGTGGGTTAGAATGCGACTGTAATGTCAAAAACAAAAGTGCGCAGGAATCGGCGTTGTGCTTAGTCACAGGCAGTTTTTGCTTCACCTCTTTTACTGCCGCAGAAGAGATGCTGTCGACAACATCAGCCTAACGACAAAGGGAGGGGTCCGAACAACAAGTCCTCTTCATCTGAGTCAAGCGCAGGACACGGCTCTCTAATTGTAGCCAAGTCCCTGAAAGCAAACTAAGCCTGTGATGAAACAAATGCTTATTTCAGGTTTTACTAAGAATTGTTTATCTTATTTCCAGTTTTGCCGAAAATTGCAAGCAAATTCCATGCACCGGCATAATTGCTGCATAAATTTAGGTTAATAATACATAAATTAGCTAACAATAATACTCCTGTTTTTTCTGCAATCCCAGCCTTACCATGTAATAAGCTATGAGGCCGGCCTGTGGTTTAGGGCGTAGGTTTAAAACAAAATTAAATAGCCAAATTGCAAGAGGAGCTTTTCCTTAATTTAGCTGTCCGCTGTGCAGGATGAATGAGATCATGAAGAGTCTAATAACAGTTTGGATTTAATCATTTTAACGTATGAAATATCATCAGTGAAGCAAATTAACCGTAAAGAGATGACTCACCAAAGTTGAAGAGACTCATCCGGTATGGGCATTACTTTTTAGAAATAAAGCTCGAGAGTTTTATATTGTGATCATTTCCACCTCATTATCCAATTACAAGTCTGCATATTTTCCTCCAGACATATAGTTTGTTCCCGAAGAAGTTGGTCTAGACATCATAAATTCCTCTGACATCGCTTGCATCATATCAGGAAATTTTTCAGTCATTTTTTTAAAAAACGCTCTGTAATTCTTATGTAAGACTATAGTGCATTTTCAGTTCTCTTGCTTCAAACGTCAGATGTCTCTCGGTAACACACCCGCAGGAAGTTTATTGCTTTCACAGCAGCAATGCACGGTCAGATCAGAGTTTAACGTGCGAGGAGCCGAGTCGCGCAGCAGCCTCGGATCGTTTGCACCCTTCGCAGGATGCCGGTTCGCAGCCAGCACACCTCCAGTTTACTTTCCAGCAGATTCACAGAAACATGCCGGGAGTGTTTATTGAAAGAAGTTGCTCAACCTTTCAGAGCGCTTTTTTATTTTTTTAAAGTCAGAGAAACCTTTAAAAACAAAAATCCATATTATCAGATTGGCTGCAAAGAATTTGGCCCCTGTGGTCGCTTGCTAACCACCAGAAAATTGTATTTACTACTACACTTAACACAGCTTTAACCTTGACCAGTGCAGAGCCGCTGTTTTCAGCCAAAAGTCTGCAAGGGCGGAGGCACGTTTAGGATTAGTCGACCACATAATCAGCACGCCCCTCTGCGTGCTCTACCTGGAAGCCATCTTACTGGCAACCCTCCCGCTCCCCACCTCCTCCCACTAAAAGTGTGCCCCATAACGTTGTGTTGACAGCCGGTGAAAGCAGCGAGACGGACCAAAAAGTAAATAAGTACCTCCAAAAACATTTACAGCCCTAATCAAGTCCAGAGCGCTGCTTCCATCCAATATGCCTTCAGAGTTTTATAAATAGATATTACACTGGGCTAAATTGGAGACAGGATTTCGCCGCTCTGTGGCTGTCATGCGTTTTCTATTATTTGCTTTCACTTTAAAATATTGGAACTCTTAATATCTTGTTACAGATTTCAGCCAGCTCAGCCAGTCTTTTTGTTTTGGCGTCACTCGGGGGCCTCGCACTCGGCAGGATTTTGAACGGGCTCCAATCAAGCATGTTAATTTAAGAGAGGAGAAAAAAACATTCACCATGTGACTTGTTATTAATAAATTCAGCAGAGGCCGGCCATGTGTTCAGTTAAATTTATAGCCATTTTTTTGAGCTACTGTATAAGGCCTTTTTATTTGTCAGTGGTTCTGAGGCAGAAATTCATCGTACGTTTTATCCTCTGTGAATGATTCATTTTGATGCATATAAAGGGTATTTTTCTCATACTGCCTTTTTCCCCTTTCTAACACTTGTAGAGCAAACAAGACCACCTCCCAGAAGCCTCGAAAATACAACTCATTCTCACATACGAGCCTTCACTTCAATTCACGCAGCTCAATAAGCCAAACATATAAAACCATTCCCACCCTAATAAACTGAGGCCTTTTTCTCCGCCACAAAGGGAGCTGGCTCCCAAGAGTGTTAAAAAAAATCAAATGGGACTCTTGAATGTAAAACAGCCTGCAGGGAACACAGCGGCCCTTCCAAGTGGAGGGAAATGTGGTGACAGCTACTGAGCCAAGGAAATGACCCAGCACACAGCTGCTGTAAGGCAGGTACCCCACCTGATGCAAACGCTGCCAGCACTAAGTCAGTAAAGTTTATACAACCCTGCTTCACGGGGGGGAAGTCCAGTGCTTTTTTTTAGGAGCTACCGAGTTTTTTGGTTTTTTTTGTTTTTTCAAAAGGTCTCAGAAATGCTGCTTTCTGATTAAATAGTGGTGCTGATGTGTAAGGGTTAGCAGGTGTAGCCTCATTGTGGTTTTTATCAGCAAACTGCAGCAGCTCTGCGAGTCTGCATCAGATTACCATGTCGCAAAGCTCTCCCCGTTGCTGCCTGTTTCTTTCACAACGTGCTATCAGACTATTAGCTTTTTCTTGTGATCTATACAAAGTTAAAGTTGACGAGAGCAACGGTGTCTGTTCCCTTTGTGCGTGTGTTGTGCGCTCATGTGTGTCTCAGTGTGTGTTTGTGTCTCCATGAACTTTAGCGGAGGACTGAGGTTTCTGAGGTGAGGCGTCCTCTCGCTTCTCACGCGAAGTGCATCTGATGTTGCACATCACATGTGTCGTCTGTCTGCTCTGTGAGATCGGTTGAAATATCTAAAGTTACCGAAATAACACTTATAGACCGAAACCGTCTGTGTATGGTGCTGATATTTTTGTTACAGTCTTTGTTTCTTTTTAGCTCCAATGAAAATGTAACATGATTTGAAACAACAAGACATGTTAAAGATCAGAATGATCTTGGATGACTGTGTTTTTCTAAATGAATAAGATGCTAGTATTTCCTGACATCTGAGGAGATGAATGCAGTATTTCCATAAGCTTCACGTCACACTGCATTAAAGTCAGAGCTCAGGAAGCCAGACATTTAACAGTCTTCTTGATTTTCTGTAACCGTTCCTCTTAATTTCAGTTTGATTTGAGTCTAAAAAAGAGAGCATTGGCCAAATTGCTTTGCCTGTGTAATGCAAGTTGTTAAACTAACCGCTGGGGTATTTTGCTTACATGAGGTAGTCCTGGTTGGAAATGCTTTCAGATTGAACTGGGGGATTTAATGAGTCTTGGCCTTTGTTCTCGTGCAGTTCGGTTTCAGTCTCCTGACAGAGCGAATTGTAAAAGGATATTGCATGTTCACTAATGATTTCCAATGGTTGATCACCATTTTAAATGCTCGTCTCTTCTTTTCCCCACCCTTCTGACCTACTGTCTCCTTCTGCCACCTCAGTGCTCTGCTGGGGTTCAAAAACAAAAAGAAAATCAGGTCCCCCGAAAGCACATTACGTTAGAGGTTAAAAGACAGCAGGCGTGAACCCTGAAGTTGGTGACACACTGATCTGTAAAACGGTGAGGAGATAAAGGGATGCAGATCCAGCGGTTAAAGAGAAGAAAAGGGGGGCCTGAGCTTGTCATGAGGAAACTATAAATGCCTGAGTGTGTGTAGAAGCTGTGAGAACACTAGAACATCATCTCCTGTCACTGCGGTTCCACTGAGGATATCAGAGGATTGCTCTCATGTGAGACACAGATGTACAGAGTGTGTGAGGCTCTGCAGATTTTAAGATATACTCTGCAAACAATTACCAACTGGTAGTGCTTCTCCTGTGGCTGTCTCTAATTAACACGGCAACAAGGCCTTAATTGGGGGGGCGGGGGTATCTCCTTTTTTTCCCTATTGCCTCTCAGCGGCTGTCTCGGTGGCTGTTTGAGGAACAGTAAGAAAAACTCGGCCACCGTCGGATTAACAACTCGAGTGTCAACGCTGCTTCGTCTCAGTGTTTTTCACGACTTACGGGAATAAACAGGATGGGGACTGAAATCAGGTAAACGTTGCGCTCTCGCTCTCCATCTCGAGAGCTTAACTGCAAATAAAAAGCCGCCTGATTGGAATTGCCATGGCAACAAATGGCTTCTTCACTGAGGCTCGTCGCCGAGCATAGTGCACTCACCTCACCGCACAGACCAAAAGTACCTCCTGGAAGTAAAGCAGAGAGAGCCTAATATGTTTTTTCTTTTCTCTTTTATTGTATTGCCGTGTTCCAGTAAGGGGCCCAGTCACATGGAGCCTCTGAGCTCGTATTCTCACTGAGAGAGCGCCGAGTTTCACTTGATAATGAATGTCTGTGGTGAGAATCCCATTATGGCGCTACTCCATCAAGCCTACAGAAAACACAGGAGCTGAGAGGCCTTTATGGGACATATCAGATGAGAGCTACTGTGCAAATCACACCCTCCTTTATGAAGCTATTTCACAGCACACGTGACAGACAGATAAATGCATTCAAACGCTACAAGAAGCAACTCTCACATTTCACTGTGGAACTGTCAGTGCTTTTTTTGTCAAACTGACAGCACTGCACGTTGAAAACAATGGTCAGAGGGTGAGCAGAGCAGAGTGGAGAGGGCAGGATCAGCACTTACCTCTTAGTAGACTGCTGCTGTAGTTGGAGAAGGAGTCAAAGATGCTGTTGGATGCCATGACAGAGAAGCCAGAATGGTGTGGAGCCCTCGCTGAAGTCAATCTCCACAGACTTCTGAGAGAGGGGGGCAAGAAACAGGAGGATTGAAACACAAAAATAAAAGTGTAGCATAAAAAGAAGTGAGGGGAGGAAGGAGAGCACAAGAGGACAAAACTCCTGGAGCTCCGAGACTCTTTGCAACCAAGAATCTAGGGTTTGTGACTACCACAGGAATCCCAAGCCACAAGCTTGCAGAGAGAGCAGCAGCATGTGTTAGCAGCAGCACCACAAGACATTTGAGAGAGAGAGAAGTGAAGAGAAGAGGGTCAGAGGCAGAAAGAAAGAAGAAACAGAAGAAACAGCAAATGTGGTTGAGAGAAAAACAGTTTAAACAAAGGCAGGCATCAACACTTGGGTCTCCAGGTGCGGAGGTGGACTCACCAGGGCTGGAGATAAGAGGGGGCCCCACCTAACGGTGCCCGGGTGGCGTAAGCAGGCTGACGGGGGCGGGGGGCCGCTTTTGTGGTGGTCTGTCAGCGGCCTGAAGGTCTGAGGTTAGCCAGCTAGCTTGTTAGCGTGGTCTGTCTCTTTCTCTTCCACGATGGTGGCGGCCTGACTGGAGCGTCAGTGCTAGTAAAAGGCTAAAAGCCACAGTCTATCTGCATCCTCCTCGCCATCCTCCACACAGACACACACTCCCCTCCGTGAGTGGTGGAGCCCACGTCACATGTCACGTGAGGTCACCGGGCCTTTCCCTCCCACCCTCCTTCCCCTCCCTCCCGTCTTCTCCTATCGTCTTTGCCTTTTCTCTGGTTTCTCTTTTTCGGGTTGTACTTTCCATGGTTCTTCTTCTCTGACTCGCCGTCTTCATTCTCACTTTTCATTGGTCGTCCAAGTTTTGGAAATATTCTATTTTCTTTTGAGTTCAAACCAGGCAGCGGCCTGCGTCGCTGTGGCTCACTGAGGTTTGCAGAAAGAGCACTAAAAACCACTGCAGAGGAGCTGGAGAGACATTCAGATGTATTAAGCCCAAGACAAACACAGGAGAGAGAAAAAGACAGGACTGAATCAGATGAGGAGAAATAGAAAATGAGAGATAGCTGTGGCTTGAGGAGACAGGAAAGTGTTGTCTCTAACTGCCGAACAACACTGAGCATGCTGTGTATACTGTGTATGTGTGTCCTGTGCTAGTTTTATGTTTGTCTGACTCACGGCACATCTGTGTTTGTAAGAACCGGTGGTTTTGGGCCTGCAAAACCTCCACCCTCACTTACCACTTGATAGTATCATAATCTTAGTCTCATCAGAAGCCGAACGGCTCGACTCTGCCCGGGTTCTCTCCTCTGCCATCAGCCTTTGAAGTTCCCTTTTTTCTCTCTTTATTTTGCCCTCTTTTATATTCATGTACATTTAATTCTCACACAGCTGAACCTGCATAATGCAAAAATAAAACTTTGTGTCCACGTCACAAAATCTTTAAATATTAATTATATGCGTCCCTTTTTTTTTCTAACCTGAACTTCCTTATGCAATACAAAAGATATTTTTATAAAACTTTAGTATTTGCGGGCAACTGAAGTCTCTTTCCCCTGTGAAAGTGCAAAGCGATTTAACCTGATTGTGGTTTTCACACTTTTTCATTTTCTGGGTTGAATTTAAGAACGGAAAAGTGTTCACTGATGTGGCTGCTTGTACTACCCGAACGACGTGAGCCCAATATGTGATAGCATATCACATATTGGGTTATTTTTGGAGATTTTGAACTATTTATTTGGAAGTTTCATCTGTAGTTATGAGCAAAACAGGAAATGGTTCATGTAGTTTCAGACTGCGAGAGAAATTAAGGCGCGGCACGACAGGCAAAAAGATAGTTAACAGAGATTTTGTTTCTACGGTATATTTTGTTTCAGACCGGTGGGAAGAAGATATCAAAACAAACCATCAGGTGATATTGATGCAAATTAGAGCATAATTAATGAGATAGAATCATCACTGAGTAAATTCTCATGGTGTTATCTGTCACTTCATTTCTATTGAAGATGCATGTGCATATCTCCATATCTAAGCTGTGTTCTCAAAATGACTTTGTTCACATGCACTTGGCTGTGCATCACCTCAACTTTAATACACCAAATGTTCTTTTATTTGGTCTATAGCCTCAAACTTTCTGTTTTGTTGTTGACAGTGTTTTATTATTTATGAAGGAAAGATAAAATATTTTCTATGTCTTTTTTCTTTTTACACCTTAGACTGTACCAAAAAAAGAAACCGTGCTCTAAAATGAAAGTTTCAGAATGAACTTTGCACCTGACGTTATTCGCTGTTTACATCTCCTGGGGAAACTATGCAAATCGTGCTTACTTATGTAGACAGATAGCTCTTCATGTGCGTATTGGAAATAGTCAAACTATTTTTAATATTTCCATGTGAGTTCGTTTTTTTTACCCGTGGTGGCTCTCGTTAGCAGAGTTACTGTGTGCAGCCATACTGTTAGGCTGCGATCTTGCAGCACAGCATCTGCATGTGTGTGCAAATAACTGGCATTTGCAGACCTCTGGGATGCTCACTTCCTCTCTCCTTTCTCCTGTCTCCCAGTGACACACTGACCATGTCTGGCCATGGGACAACAGACCCAAACCACCGTCTGGTCACTCATGTGACCCACTCGCTTTCCCTGGAAACCTGTGTGTGTGTGTGCGCGCGCGCGTGTGTGTGTGCATGTTTCTGTTCTGTTTCTGCTTCACACCTCGTTGTGTATGGATGTCAGCCCACATCTGCTAATTGCTGGACAAACCTGCTGCATGGACCACAGCATGTGTTTGTATGTGTATATACAGTACCATGTTCTGAACGTGTGTGTGTGTGTGAGAGAGAGAGAGAGGGAGAGCTTGCCGCTCTTCCTGGTAGGCCGCACTGCCCTGTAAATGAGCAGTTGCCGTTGAGTTAGGCGGCAGCGCGGGCTAAATGACACGGCGTGTCAGCGAGTGTGGCCGAACGCTGAGGCCACAGCCGTGGCCCCAGGGCTTTTATCAGTCCGTCCATGCGGCCACTATAGGCCTCTGACTTAACCTCACACACAGCGGAGCTTCCTCTTCTAACACCTCTCCTGCCTCCCGACATGGCCTCGGCCCTGGCCTGCCAGCCCTGACAGATTACAGCTCTATGTCTCCCTGCTGAACAAGAGGTAGTGTTGTCACACAGGCCCGGAGGGCAAAACCTGCAAGTCCACAGACGGGGTTTCCAGACCTTTATGCTGTATTATACTTTAGAGTCTTGAGCTTCAGCCCAAGGAGGTTGGACCCCAACCCATCTTCAAACCCTAACCTTAAATGTTGTTTTGTTTCTTTAAAAAAAAGAATAACTTTTGATGAGTGTCAGTTAAAATTTTTAGCTTCTTTGGGGTCACAGGCGGGGGTTCGGTTTGGTTGGTTTGGAGCCGGGGGTCTCCCGCCTTCTGCGTTGGTCTCGTCCGTGTTTGCTGGAGTGCAGCGTACTGGTTTCACAGTACAGAGCCTCGTGGTTGTTTCGGTTTATAATCATTTTATGTGGCTGTATTTGTGCAAGCGAGACATGCTGCTGGTAATAAGTCATGTTTTCTTCTTCAGATTTCATTAAAGTGAGAAATATATTTTTCTGCTATTTGTTTCCAAAAAGGCAGACTGCTTTAGATTATTGTCAATTTCCTTGTTTTTGTCCGCTTGTGGAAACAAAGACACTGCATCTGGATTTTTACTGAGAAATAAAGGAAAAGCTAAAAAAACAAAAACACACACACACACACACACATATATATATGCAAAGAGCCATCCCACAGCATTGTGCAAGAATGGGAACTAGCTCCTGCTGTCCAAACTTGACATTTGAAGAAAGCGCCGGAGTCGAGGCCTCAGTCTACTGTGTGTTTTTTCTTCTTTGTCTAGGTAAACATCTGCTTCATGTTTTGAAATGTATCTCATGGCTTTGCACTGCCCATGACCGTGAGGGGAAAATAGTCTCAAGATCATTGTGGCCGTCTTCCTCTCAATTCTTTTTTTCCCCTGCCCAGGCCTTGTTTATCAAGCCCCTGTATTTAAGCTTAATATAACTCCTGTTTTGCTGAGAAAACTGTGGTGGTTTAATCACTGTCAGTGGTCCTACGCCTCTCGGGTGTGGCTCGCAAGCAAAAAGGACTCAGTGCGGTCGTGCGTCCAGCTGCAAAGGGGCTTATTTTGTGGTCTAAAAATTGCAGGCTTCCCCATATGTTCCCCATAAACGTGGAATGCAGCGTGGGACTTGAGGAGGCTTTTATAATGAAGTGGCCGTCATTGCATCAAACACCATGATCCTGCCTGCGCTCTAGGATAGGCCATGGGAGCCCATTTTTGGGCTGCGTACACGGGTCCAATGTCCTGACTTCTCACTCACACCTCATTTCCCTGATTTTCTTTTAATTATGTTACAATGCTCATTCCACCTACCTGTGTCCCAGTTTGCTTTCAGTACTCAGAGTCAAAATTCCCCGTCAAATTACAGTAAAGTAGTGGTGGTGTCATTTGACAGCATTAAACTGGTATTTTACAGTGTGTCTACCGTAATAACAAGTTTCTTACTTTTTGTTTTGTATTCTGCGTGAATAATGTGTTACGATGGGGTGTTATGCTGTAAATTAACAGTTTTTTTAATTATTAGTGTAAAGACACTGAATGTTCTCAACCTTAAATGCTGTTTTTAAACACAAAATAACTGAAATAACTTCACAGCATTTCCAAATTAATTATTTGAACTCGAGCATTTTACATTTCCATGACTCCCAGGCCGTCAACAAGGAAAAAAACTTTGTTATATTGTAAAATGTAAAGTGTCTTCCTGTTAATCTTCTATTTCCCTGCAAAGAACAGGGAATTATCGTAAAAAAAATCCTTTCTTTTTACAGAAAGTTAGTAAAACGTGAGCTTGATCTGCTTAAACGTTTAAGTTAGAGTGCTTTTGGTGTACAGCGGTTTTTTACAGTGTGTCATTTATTAACTTGCCCATATTTCATGTAAAAATAGCCTCCGAGACAAAACCTTTTACATATAACTCCAAACACTTCTGGAAATTCTCAAGCACTGGCACTCCAAAGAGGAAGTGGGCATCGGACCTTGTAAGAGACAAATAAAAAAAGTAAAACATTCCTAACGTGTCACACTTCAAATAAACCGGGAAGCAGCTGAGCAGCCCGAGCTGTTATTCTAGAGAGTTCTTAGAAAAGAAAGTTGCAGCTGTGTGAGAAATTAGTTCAGTGTTACCAGCTCAGCATTAATCTGTAGTGTCTCTCTGTGTGTCTACATGCGTGTGTGCGCGCATGCATGCTTGTGTTGTTGTTTTCACTGTCAGCGAGGCACTCCCAGATGCAGCGGTTTCAGCATGCAGTATCACCGTTGGAAGCGATCGCCAGGCCCATTATTTATTTATTGGCTCCAGCAGACATGGAGACTGTGGTAACCGCACTGAGAGGAGGGGCAGCGGGGGCGCCGTGTCGCCACACACGGTGCAGCAGGCCGTATCCCAGAGATCCCGAGGAGCGCTGCGCGTACAGTATACGGTAACCCGTGGCTGCTAAATAAAGGAGAACTGTGCCACTCCAATGTGGATATTTCTGGAGAAAGCTGACCCTGCATTAGGTCACGATCAGCAACGATAA